CCCTCAGCAGGCGTTTTTGCTTCTATCCTACTGCCAAATTAGAGACCACATGATTCCTGAGTGGCCCGGTGTACAGTGTAGGATGAAAAGAAGGCAAATCATCCCATTTTACACGAGCAACATAATGAGAATGAAATGAGCTGTAAATAGTCAGGCACAAATACATGACTGCAGTTTTTGTGTTCCAGGAACCAGGCATGTAGAGACGTGCACTCAGACACAATCAACCATATTCATTTTTAAATATCGAACATTCATACAGGAGTTTGGAACTGAAGGGTTGCAGTTCAAGTCCCTGTCCAGACCAAATATAGAGTGTGGACTGGTACCTGCAGAGGTGCCAGTTCGCCTCCTAGGCACTGCTGAGGTGCACATCAGTAAGGCATCGAACCCCCAACTGCCCAGGGCGCCTGTCCATGTGCAGCCGCCTTGCTCTGACATCTCTGTATAGGTCCTGTTTGTGCATATATGTGTATTTTGGGCCTGTGTGTGTATGACAACAGAATAAAAAAAAAACTGAATTTCCCCTCAGGGATTAGTAAAGTATATCTTGTTCTTTTCATAGATGTGCAAGTTAGCCATGACAACACGGGCACTAACACTCCACCATACCATCACAGACGCCGGCTTTGAACTTTGTGCTGACAACAATCTGGATGGTTTTCCTCTTTAGCCCGGAGGACAAGATGTCCATGATTTCCAAAAACAATCTGAAACGTGGACTCGCCAGACCACAGCACACTTTTCCACGTTGCGTCAGATGAGCTCGGGCCCAAAGAAATCTGCTGCGTTTCTGGATGTGGTTGATGTATGGCTTTCGCTTTGCAAAGTGAAGTCTTAACTTGCATTTGTAGATGCAGTGATGATGAACTGTGTTTACTGACAATGGCTTTCCAAAGTGTTTCTGAGCCCACGTAGTGATATCCTTTATACAGTCATGGGTTTTAATGCGCTGACGTCTGAGGGATCAAAGGTAAAAGGTATTCAGTGCTGGTTTTCAGCCATGTGCAGAGATTTCTCTGGATTCTCTGAATCTTTTGATGATGTTATGGATTGTAGATTGTTATTCTTAAACTGCTGGACTGTTTGCCAGCACAGTTTTTCACAAAGTGGGGAAACTTGCACCGTACTATAATTGCTTGTGAACACCTGATGCCTTGTCCTTCCCAATCACAATACTATCATCTGTTACCAATTGACCTGTTAACCTGCAAACAAGTGTTGCCAGCATCAACGTCAGAATAACTTTATATTTACAAAAAACAATAAAGCTATTCAGTGTGAACATTACGTCATATGAATATAGGTCGAAGAGGATTTGTAAATTACTGCATTCTGTTTTTCACAGCATCCTAACTTTTTTGGAATCAGGGTTGTATGTCTGTCACATTTTTCACATACAGCATATACCTTTAAAGACGATGTATTCACCTCTCCCGTCTCATAATCCGAGCTCTGATTGGATTGCTTGATACCGGCAGAGAGAAAGGAAGACCTGCAGTAATGGGGCCTTAGCAGAGATGCTAATGATAACGCATATAGAGCTAATAATACCAGTGTTGTGTGACGAGTGACTGCAGTGTGCCTGCCTCCTACCTGTCTCCCACTATGCCATTAACATGTCATGTTGGAGAGGGCCCATCCTACAGGTCACTTTATAATGAGCAAATGCTCTGACAGTTCCCAACACATGCAGACACACACTCACACACAAACACACGAGCAGGATTGTGTGCGCACATACTTTGAGATGCGAATAGCTGTCTCTTATCAGAGTCTGGCAGCTCCCGCCGACACGGCGGAGGCCTTCTACACCAGGCAGAACATGATTTCTCCTGGGAACACTTTTTCCATTTCCTGCTTTTGAAGGGAAACTAAATAAGCCACGTTTGTCCTCATCTGAATACATTTGACCCATTAAAACGACTCTGCTCTCCCGCGTCCTTCTCTGCTGCGGTGTTGTAAAGTAGGCCGTGTCGCCCACAGAATGCAAATGACAACAGTGGCGGTGGGTGTAGCGCGCCCGGCGCCTGGCAGGTGCAGATAGTGGCAGAGGTGACGTGGACTAAGGAGGGGGTAAAAGTGTTGAGTGGGTGCTCCAATTACTCCCTAGCATTGAGGAAGAACACATGAGTCAGCCCCTGTCATAGGGGTCCCCTATTTACTAATTCACTCCTCTGTTACTTTAACACACAATTAATCAATGACAGGAAGGTGTAGTCGGCGCTGTTCATCAGGAGCGTAACGTGAGCCAGGGTGAATTAATACAGTCACTGGGGGGATTACAGCTTACCATGCTCTCTCTCTCTCTCTTCCTGAAACAAAAAGGAATTGCCACCGAGACAGGAGCAATTTAAATCGACAACACTGAGTAATGACTCAATTTGCTGCACAGTCTAAACACCACAAGCAAATGGCATTACTAAATCATTAGAGTGGATCTAGATCTCTGGTTAGAAGTCACTGGATGATATGGCTGCTCTTAGAATCTATGAGGTGCGCTCAAACTGTAAATACCTGGATATTAGAAAAGGAGCTGCACTGAATACTTTACAGACAGCTAAAAGCAAACATACAGATACTTACAGGCACTTTAATATTGCAATCCATAAACAAATATGGCAGCCATTATTAAACGGTACAACCATACCTTTTAAAACCAACAAACAACTTAGGTATTAGGGCTGCCCCCTAATAGTCGTCCAAATATTAGTTGACTAGAAAGGTTATTAGTCGGCAAGATTTCATTGGTAGTTGCAGCAAAAAAAAAAAAAAAAAAAAAAAAAAAATTAAACTCTATTGGGAGCTGCGTCTTGTCAAAGTAAATCAAAACCTATATGACTGGACCATGTGGGAGTTTAATTTGAAAGGACAGACACAGGAAGAGGCAACGCTCCGCAGTCAGACAGGAGTCAGGTTACAAACCAATCACAGCCGACAGAAATCTTTCCCTTCTTCTGTAAATATTCAGTCTGATAAATACGGAAAAGTTGATCATGTTACTGCAGGGCTACCCGGAGCTTTACATCTGTCCCACAGACGATAGGCCTACACACTTATAAACAGCACCTGGAAGAAGATCAGCTCTGCTCTCAGGATTTCACTTAATGTTTGTTGAGGTTGCTTAGAAACTTCAGATGCTGCCACGATCTTGAAAGCTGGCACAAAAAAGGCACAAGAGTAGCGCCCAGCGCCCGACCTCGCATTTTCCATGTGGTTAAAGATGTGGCATGTGTACGGTCCCTAATTTCCAGGGCTGGTACCTGCGGTTATTCCACAGGCTAGTTAATAACATGTCGGGCAGGAAATCCAAAGTGTGGGATCATTTTGAGAAGGTGAAGGATGAACCCAAGGTGATATGTAAACTCATCTTCATTGGTCGACTACAAACATGACGTATCATCTGAAACATGGAAGTAGCTACATGCCCATTAGCCCACAGCGTCATTAACAGGCGGCTCGCTCAGTGTGTGACGTGCACTTGTAGATAAAATATAGGCCTATATTAATGAAGGTTCATTAGTACGGTTTTGTATTTCTCTGTAATGTAGCACAGTGTTAACAATGTTACTGATACTATTCTTTCTCACACCTTCAACTCAAACCATTGTGTTGCCCCGCCCACAATATATCATTTAATGATTAAATTAATATCGTAAACATGCGAGTGACTAGTCGACGAATGGTCGGGGGCAGCCCTAGTAGGTATACAGTATGCCATGTTGTTTTAAAAATCTAATCTTATCCTTTTTCAGTGCTATCTAGTTTGATAATTTGATCTTGCCAATAGAAAAATGTTTGATAGCCTATTACAAAGAAATTAGGTGAATCAGGCTTAACTCACTGACATCTTCAAGACAGCTGAGCATACAACATCACACTCTCCTAACTGTCACACAGTTTTAGCTCAGCCATGAATGTGCAGTATCTGCATGCACATTTTGTAACAACAAAAATGTTTTCTTGCTCCGCTCTCTTCAGCTTTTGTATTGATTTCTAGTATTTGTACACTCCCATGTAGTAGTGCTAAGGAGTAATATTGCCTGTGACCAAGTATCTCTAATGCTTATTTTGTAATTGGCATGAAATCTAGTTTGTGCTTTTACAGTCCCATGATAACAAGAACTGGAAATTTAGGTGACACATTAACCTTCCCTCAAGCGCCATCATCAGCCCAAACTTTTAAATCTGCATACTATACTGTATCTTTACAACAGTTATTAAAATTACAGTAATTGTTTTACAAGCTCAAAATATTAATGACTTCCATACAGCTCCCGGTCCATTCCTCATGCAGACACGTGTGCTGCACAGATTCTTCCCTCTACTGAAAATAACTTATATTTAGTGATCTTTTTCGCAATGCCACAATCAGGCCAAGCCTTGGTTAGCCCTGCAAAAATTAAAATACAACTGTAACAAAAGTGAAAAAGAAATCGTGAACGTTTCAGCAAATACTCGAGAGTGTGACACCACAGAAACACACCATAGATCTTGACAGTAGGAGGTGTTGATTGAGACTCAAGGAACAGAAATAAGCAATGACAGGATCGTGTTTCTTTCAATTAGCAAAAGAATGTGTAAAAATCAGGCAGACAGAATGACCGATAGACAGTAAGATAGATAGATTGATAGATATGGCACCAAACAAGCACTGCACTTAAGACTGAGATATGCTTGTTAGTATCAGCTTTCAGCTAAAGACAGCCTGCACCCTCAGCCCTGGCTGTCACAGCAGTCTCATTTAAATGTCATCTAAATCCTAAAAACCCAGAACAGTTCGATTTAGATTTTGCACATCATTAAGTCATTTATAATTAATGCGCTGCTAATTAAGGCTTTCTCATAGTTATTAACAGGATGTTTAATTCTAATTACATTAAATTCACAGTCTTAAAGAAAGTCTAATATTTGAATCTTATTGAAAGCAGATAAAGGGCGCCTGAAATGATCCAAGCACATTCAATAGTATATGAAAAATGACTGAATATGAGGCTTACCTTGTCTTCTTGGTCACTCTCCGTGTCACACTGCAAAACACAAAGAAAGACAAAGTTGAGAATGAGAAATAATGTGTTTATATTCTTGTTTTATAGCAGTTCCTTCTTACTCAATTTCAACACACGTGAGTGCAGTTTTCTAATTTACCTTAACAAATGGCACATCTTGTCATCTCTTTAATGATGAATTTATCACACACTCATATTCAGAGTCTGAATATCATCAGATCACTTCATTAGCCGACACAAGCACAGGAATGCGAAACAAAGCAAATTTCTCACGAGCAGCCGTGCCCTTGTTAACATGTGATATTCAGACGGAGCTGGAATCTCAAAACACTAACCACTACTCGAATTATAATTCCATGATGTGTGTTCCTGCTTGAGGCTGGGAATGGAGAAATGACAAGAGGAGGAAGGAAACTTTGTAATGGAGGGAGGAAAAAGTGGTTGGATTTCATTTTTTCTTTCCAATTTCAATTTCAAGGTCCACTTAATTCTTTATCAACTAATTAGTGTGATGCTGGGTGACTGGCGGCCCTCAACGTTGTGCATATGGCTGAGGTGCAGAGAAGCACTGGAGTCGGTAATGAAGAAGGCACTGGGGGGGAATATGGGCAGGGGTTGGCACAGTGTGTGTGTGTGTAGGCGGGGGGACCGAGAGTGCAGGGAGGGGTTGGTGGGTGTCGATTAAAGTAGGGAGGGAGTGAAGGAAGGGGGTGCAATGATTGACAGCTCAGGGAGTGAGCGACAGAAGGCCCTGGCGTTTTTTCCTTCTCTCCCCTTTTTTTTTGCTTCCATCTCTTGTTTTTTTGCTGATCTGGGGCCCTGCAGAGCTCAAAGGTAGCTGGCTGGGCTCGTGGCTGCTCTGTTTCTGAGGCTGGACGGTAAAAAGGGGGCCTTGCGAGCTCAGCAGGAGCATAGCATCCAATTTACAGGCCTGTCCCACACGGCCCCAGGGGCCGCCCGCGGCACACTGCCATGATGGTCAGCTCCAGCAGCTCATAAATTATGCAGAGGCAATAAACGCACTGGGCAAACACTCCTCAGACGTTTCCCTGCTCTCCATTTCTCTCTCACTCTCTCTCCCCACCACCCACAGCATTCCATCCCCCATTTTAATACAGTGTGCAGAGAGCCAGCAGCCCCATATATTGTCAGCTGGAAGAATAAATATGGATAATGAAAGACGAGTGCAGATTCTGATTACACGTGAATGTCTGTGTAATACAGAAAGCGGCACACTGTGTGCATTTATGCACATCAATTCTAGCTTGTGAATAAATAGGCGTGTCAGCCACGTATCGCTCGCTCTTATGCAGCCTCCCGCACAGGACTGACTAATGCAGCAGCAGACAAGATCTGATGAGCAGTATTAGCCATCTCAACTGCCTCCATGTATTCAGGCCTCTCAGAATGTGACAACAGTAATGTGACCGAGCACTCATTAGCTGCTTCTCTGCCTGTGCGCACTACACACCCGGAAACACAGGCATGCGACGGGTTCAAATAATGGACATCATTTGAGTTTTTGCACTGTGTTGTGATCCATGAAAAAACACTACCAGCCTTTCTTTCTCGTGTTCCCTTTTTACGCTTTCCCTCCTTTCCCTGTTCGCAGGCTGTGCAGCCAATTGCTTTGATTGCCAAGATAGAAGCCGGCTGGAATGACTTGCCCTTGCTTGTGAAGCAAATGGAACATGCTAATGGAACTCATCGTATTACCCGATGCAAAAGTGCCATAGCTCATTACTTTAAGATAAAAGGATATCATTGTAGACGGCAAGCAGAATTGACTTTCTGTGCTGCGACTTGATGATGATTTAATCAACTGCTCTCTTTCACTTCTCATCCCTGTGCCTGTCGCTTTCGCAGGTGCCACTAAACGAAGCACTCACACGGCTAGTGGGGGAGAGAAAAGAAAAGAAATTGCTGTCATTATTTTTTTTCCCTAGGAATAGAGGTATGCAAATTTCCCAGAGCGACAAAGGGTGGAAAAAAGGGAAAACTTAATAAAATGGAAATACCTTTATAATGAGCAAAGTAAAAAATCCTGAGATCAGGCCTGACAGGCGAGGGCAGGCAATTTGATCGTCCTTACAGTGCAGACGCCAAAGCTCCCTTGAACTCACTGCTCGAGTACAGAGCAAAAAGTAACAAATAATAACATCTCTAAAAGATAAAAAACACATCTCAGGCATACAAACAAGTCAGAGCTGTCACTCACTGATAAGTGATCATAGTGAACTAATGCGTTGCCTCATGCATAAAGCAACCTGAGGCGGGGGAGAAGAATCCCTGCATATCTGGAATTTTTTGTCGCTCCTTGTATTTCTACTTACTGACTTCTACATTAGGAAACGGAAAGCTAGAAAGACTCGGCTTTGCGCTTGGAAATGTCATGAATGATTGGTACACCTCATCATTAATAACTGAGGCATGGTATTGTTTTAGGAGGTAAGTACAAGCTCAGAAATCCGGTTATTGCTACTGACGGGTGAGTATATAAATCTGCAGAGCTATGGTTAACTGCAATGTCAAAAACACTTTAAACCAATCCTGGGCAGCCATGCTTAATGAAAAGACATATGTCAGAGGTTTAAAATGACTGTCAAAAATGAAAAGATTATACGGAAGAGAGGGGAACAAAACACAACAACAATGGTGCTATTGAGATCAGTGGAGTTAGGGTCTGACAGGCGGTAGGAAATGGGTCTTATTTAAAGCAACATTCGTGTACAATAAGGAAACCATTAGTCCTGGGAGGGGGCTGACAAAGAAAAGTGATACTCTATCCAGGCCCACTGCTATTTACACAGGGCAAGCATTATACTGTACAGCTAGACCCCAGTGTTAAGTTTAAGTAACACAGGAATGTCAAACATTAGCGTCAGCTCTAAGAGCTGTTGATATTGGCCTGTATCCGGAGCACTTCTGATTGCCCCTCTGCTCTCACGCGGGCCTCTCTTTTGGCTGAGTGCTCTTACAAATTTCCCTACTCTCTGTCCAAGCATCGAGCCTTTTGTTTATATTGGTCTGAAAGTAGGAGTAAATTATTCTTGTCCTAAATCCTCTCCAGCTGAGAGTAATACTGGCCCAATACAAGGGGAACATAAGGAGCCATGGGCCGAATGCTAAATGATGCCGCTTTGCTATCGTCCGTAGCAGCGGGGCTCACCAAAGTCTCCTGCTAAGGCTACCCGCAGAAAAATGTCTGTGCTAAAGAGGTAACCACATCACACAGGGATGCATGCAAAGCGAGTATGCCATGTTCTCTTTTCTAACATAACCTTCTGGAAATCCACTGGTCCACAAATACTAACAGATGTTAAGTCAATCAAGGAAAAAGATGACATGCATAACCGATAATTTTGAAGGCAAACAGAGTGTGTTTAACAGTCTTATTATAAATGTGGATCTGCTGTCCCTGCAAGTTGTCTCTAATCTAATGTTTTCCAAAAGTGGCATCTTCTTAAGTCTGGATCTGCGATGGATTCGTATTGTCGCCCCCATGAGTGACATTAGCCTCAGGTTATGCTGGTTGCTATCCATGACCTTAGAATTAATTACGGTTGATATGGGCTTCATTAAAGCGGCCCGATGCACCGAGGATGGTGTCTGTTTATCAGCCTGAGCCAGGTTGTCCTGAAGGATGGCTGAAGGGGTTAAAGCCCAGGGAAGGAGCCAACCTGCCTGCATGCCTGGGAGCTGGAAAGACAGCATGAAGGATGGCAGCCATTGCCAGGGTCAGCTATGACAGTGCCAATTTGATGTGCTGTCGTCGAGGGCTCCTCATTCCCTCCTCCTAACAGCTCCTTCCTGATATAGCTGCGCGTCCTGATGGTTTTCTGATGCAAACAGTCACATGGCAAAATGGTTTTCTCCCCTCCCGCCGCATTCTCCTCCATCTGCTGCTGGGGCCTGGGTGCCGCCGACCGCCTGCCTGTCACAGCGTGCGTGGAAATTAGCTGGGGAGGAGGTGCTCGCTTGTGCTAATTACATTTTAATCATTGGAAATGTGTTGGCAAATCAAGCCTTGATTGCCATCTTGGAGCCCAATGCTTCTCTCTGCAGGTTGGGGATAGGGATGGGGGGGGTGGAGGTTTGTGGGGCTAGAACGTGGCTGAGCCCAGACTCGCCGAGCTGGACGCCACACTCTCCACCACGGCTTGATATGGCGGCATGCCTGGCCTACCACTGGGTAGGGGCTGTGCCACATTATTCATGGGGAATAGAGGAAGACCGGCATGGCGAAATGGGGATCTGTGCCATGCTTATTCTCAAATCCCCCACTCACACCTCTCGTATCCCTCTCTGTTTCTCACCCACACATTACACAGTCTGCCAGTCCCGCCACTGTGAATTGAGGAACAACAAATAGAGCCGGGCAGGAGGAGACTGATGAGCTCAGAGTTTGCTACACAGCACCTGCTTTGGCATACAAAGCTGGAGCAGCAGGCCCCGTCACAATACGCTTGCAAATTACTTTCTTATAACACAGAAATAAAAAAATAGAAGCTGACTTGGCTACATCAAATTTAGACTTTTCCTAGAAAAAAATAGGAATAATCTTAAGGTTGGCAACGAGAGTGTGGCTGATACATATTGCTGACTGGAGATGCAGATATGGTCCAGTTTGTAGGACTGTACCGGACACATGAATGCTAGAGCTGTACAGATTAATAGACTGCTAACTAATGTGATAATCTATTAATTGGTCTGAGTACTTAAATTCTCTAATTCCAGCTTCTTCAATGTGAATATTTGTTGGTTTGTTTACTTCTCTCTGACAGAAAAGAGAATATGTTTGGGTTGTTACCAGTACAAGACATTTAAGAACGTTATCATTGGCTTTTAGAAACAGTGATCAACGTTTTTCAACATTTTCACATTTTATGAACCAAAAAAAAAAACAAAAAAAAAAACCAATCCATGAATTGGGAAAATAATCAACAGATTAATCGACAGTGAAAATAATCATTAGTTGCAGCCCTAATGACCACTATGTTCAACCACCGGTTGCAAATAGC